CCCCTTTCTCTTCTATCCTCTGATCCCCCATGGTGTGTGTGTGTGTGTGTGTGTGTGTGTGTTTGTGTGTGTGTGTAAACCTCTTGTAACTTTTGAACGACTCGACCGATTTCATCGCGGTTGGTGTCATTCGAAAGGGCTTCGCCAAACTTAGATTTCCTGAGAGTTGGAACCAATTCGGACCGGTAGATTTCGAGAAAATGCAAAAAAAGTGAAAAAAAAAGTTGTTTTTTTTATTTTTTTTCAAATATCTCCGAATTTGCTGAACCGATCGGTCTCAAAAACTAATCAGCTCTTAATGTTGAAAACCTCCATCGATCGCCACCAAAAACGTCAGAATCGGTTGATGCGTTCGTGAGATATCGTTGTTGAAAAAAATCGAAAAAAGTGTTTTTTTGTAATAACTTCGAAATTCATGGCTCGATCGATTTAAACTTGAAAATTTTTTATAGAGCTTCAAAAACTGCGCCGATTGCCACCAACCGCGTGAAAATCGGTTTATTCATTCAAAAGTTATTGTCGTTTGAATATTTAAAAAATTGTGTCTTTAAACTGCTATTAGAGTTTTGAGCTCGAAGAGCTCAAATTGACACAAAAATAATATTTTTGAGCTCGAAAAACGTAATGTGTAGCTTGAAGCGTTTAAGTACAAAATGAGCGGGAAGTTGCAGGGATGGCCTTTAGGGTCAACCGTCATCCTAATTTTTTTTTTTTTAATTTCGTAATTTTTTTTTTTAGTTTCGTAATTTTTTTTGATTAGGAAGAAAAATATGAAAACTTCCAAAAAATCGTTCTTAACCCTTAGCGGCCACATATCAGTCAGGTCACACAGCGGTCCCATAGGGTAACTTATGGCGTTTTTTCTGCTTCTCATATAATAGAATCACATCTCAGACTTGTCTACTATCGGCAGAAGTCGAGACTTGTATCAATTCCAAAAGTTTTAGACTTCAAATTTTACTTTTTCTTAGTTTAGGGTAACTAGTTACCATGTGCGGTCGCTAAGGGTTCATGCGGTATATACATACATAATTATTGTTTTGTATTATTTTGATATCCTAGGATCAGAAATCGTCAACTGATGAGGAAGAAATCGGTAAAGCTATTTCCCAAGGTCAGAATTTTGTCTATGATAGAGACCGTCCTGATAAAGGAGGTGCTACGGCACTCAACCGGTCACGGAGCATCAATCGTCAAAGACTAGTTGCTCATAGCACAGCGATGGAAAGTATTCAAGCTGAAAGTGAACCTATCGATGAAGAAGATGATGTACCGTTAGTAAACTAAATCAAATTGTCAAAAAATTGGTATTTTTAGTTTTATTGTTATATCATATCTGATCAGGATCAATCCAATTTTTCTAGCAGTCCTGGTGGTATTCCGGCAAGAAATGCACGAGGCGAGCGTCTTCTACTTTTTATTGGGATCATTGATATTCTTCAAAGTTATCGACTGAAAAAGAAACTTGAACATACATGGAAATCTATGATACACGATGGGGTACATAAATTATTAATATTTTAAATTCAGATTACTACTTTAGATAAGTATTGATAGTTATTTCTTGTGACGTCAGCTTAAAAAGTAAAATAACAGATCTCGCTTTGAATATATTCTTTCAATTAAGTATAGCACAAGAAATTTGATCGATTATTTCTGCATTCGTGATGTAATGATTCTTTTTAAAAATGAAGAAAAACTGTAGAATTTAAAAATGAATAGGAAATTGATTTTTCTAAAACTGTAAGATAAACGACGGAGTTTTGGATGCAAATGATGTTACATTCTCAATTATTATTTTTTATGATACAGCAACATTAATATAATTAATTTTATTTTCGCGATAACAAATTATTACAATTTATTCACACGTAGATTGCTTATCAAGAAACCTAAAAATCAAGTTTTTGAAATATGCAAGTTTGATTTTTTGCTATAAAATAGATTATATATTGTAGAAATTGTTAAGATATGAGCTTTCAAAAATCATGTAAAATTTCAAACTCGATACCAGATATTAGAAATGTAAATTGATTACGCGCGCGCTCTAATCCTAAACAATAGGGAGTCAAGGTCTATTTTTTTCAATAATTTCGGTACTCAACTAACTTTAAGTTAATTATGAGTTTTACATTTTAGTATATATTCCAAAGTAGATACGTAAGCTTAATATTGAATAAGAAAATAAGAGTAATTTATGATCGAACAAACTGTAATAGTATTATCATCAATGTTTTTGCTCACGTACAGATTTTAAGTTTTTGTCAATACTGCTATAATTTTCAAGTATACTAGCGGCACGTGATTTTTTTATCAATATTTTCTGACAATAATGATTCTACTTTTAAAACACTTCTATCTTATAAACATCTTTATCGCGAAAGATTAAGGTTAGCGTTGGTGAGACTATATTGTAGATAAATATGAAAAACATCAACAGAAGAAACGCAACGTTGCCAAATCATCTACGAGTTTTATCTGCTGATTTAAGCGAGTTAAACTAACTTTTATATTTTATATTTAATTATTTTCTCTTATAATTCTTTTGATTTTAATGATCAATATACAAGCATAATAATTATTTTCGAATTCTATTATCTTTCATCTGTATTTCAGTTAAATTTCTTAATTCTTGGATACTGAACTTTATTTAATTAAACAAGAGCGGAAGGACCTTCTCGAATATGTTTCACTTCCATCAGATTATCGTCGTATCTTGATAATCTGTTTATGCAAATAAATCTAAACCACAGATAACCAGCTATTAACAACGAACGCATAAATTGTGAATATACATTTAGTCAGAAGCCAGAAATAATGTGTCACATTTGCACCGTTTGAATTCCTGTTTTGTTTTTCGAAAAGTCCCTAAAACTGTTTTGCCACGAGAAACCAAATAAATAAGTTGATAGAGACACTATTTTTTTCATCAACAATGACACAAATTTTAATGATTAAGCGAGTCCGACTCTGAGAATGAAAACGACAATCAAAGCGCGGAATGGATAGGAAAAAGAAAAATGTTAATTTGCCAATTTGAAAGGAATTGGACGTAGCAATTATCAAGGTCGTCACGCTTTTAGTCACTAAGATTTGAGTCTTCATTATAAAATGAAAAAGGACCAGATAACTTGTTCGAATCAAGGCAAGAAAGAACTCGCTGTTGTCAACTAGCGAATACCACTGCAAGCCCCGGTAATGTGACTGTATGGGTCAAATTATACCTTCAGACCTCTCACTTTGGTGGAAGTGAACGTGTCAAAGTAAAAGAGTTCTTCACCACTAACGTTGCCCTTGGAGCACAGGCATCCTCCATTGTAACGTGCCTTATGCTACATAGTGGACTCTGTAGGATGGACCGTAATGTACCTACAGTAAGTTTTTGGAACATGATTTCGGACCCAAGAAATTGCAGTACTGTAATACAGCGTTACTGACAAACTGAGTTGAAGGAAGAGGTAGAGGGCTAAACTAATCGTTATATGGTTCGCTAACGTGGACCTACTAAAGAAGATGCTAGGCACTTGGCCATTTTCGATGTATCAGTGAGTACGGGCGCTATTACAGTAGTCTTGCGGGACTTCAGACGGTCAAAATCTTGGCTTCCCCATCATGTTAACTCAAAAAACAATAGTCAATTGCAATTGAGACCGCTAAAAAAATCCCTCACTTCGCCCAGCTAAATTAGAACGTGCTCGATCCCGCGTTGGATGCATCATAATCTTAAGCTCGTAGCGCAAATTCTTGAGTACCAAAATCCTTGACTACACATATGTGCATTGAAAATAACGATTTCTTGACTATAGTTCTCCAAGCTGTGCAAAGATTTATTGTGGTTCATTTCTAGTAAAAATTTAACGTATAAAACAATAGATACAGTATTACATCTATAAAATGAAGTTACAGTATATACCGACTTCTATGCTCCTTATACATGAGTATAAGCGCGGAAAAATTGAATAAAAATATTTCTGTAATAAATATATATTAATTTTCGTTAAAAAAAAACGTTTCTTTATGTAATTGAGTAAATTAGTAAATTATTATCATTTACTGTATCGAAATCAAAGTAAGTTTTTTCACTATTAAGAATCCTTATTTTATTAATTATGTAGGACTGAATTATTTTTTCTTTTACCATGAGCACTTTTTTGCATAATGTAGTTTTTTTTTTTTTTTTCATTTATTCTCATCTGCGTACTAAGCTCGGTTATCATCTGGAAAATAATAATATAGAAGTCTTTCTGTATATTGCGTTTTTAGTTACGACCAATTTTTGAGATATTTTCACGTTGGTACTTATGTATTGCAATGTAATTTTTAGACTTGTGCTGTTCTTAATTTTTTAACTATTATTTTTTTTCTTTTATTGTGAATAAATATTTCATTATTTATTATTTCATAATTAGGATACAGTATCAGTGCATCGGCCAGGATTTTACGCACAGCGCTTCCAAGATTTCATGGCAAAAACTGTATTTAAGAAAATTCCATCACGTAAGTATTATCCAAATCAGCCTCTTTTGATAAATTTGACATCGATGCGAGCATTGAATAAAACACAATCTTAAATTATGTTATAATTCAAGAATTTTCATTGCAAACAAGAAAAAACATGAGATCATTCTATTCTTGAATATCAGATTCATTTGTAAAATTAATTAGGTATTTAAAACTTAGAAGACTAAGTTTTTTTTTTTAGAGAAATTGATAGCTCTATTGTATATAATGTGCATTTTTGTAATAAATTGAACAATTTCCATAGGTTAGTTATTTATATTTTTGTGTTTACTCGCATATAACAAAACTATTCCAAAAAAAGAATCGTAATTTTTAATATTTGTATTTTTAATGAAGAATTGTTATTTTTAAGAATTACATATTTTTTCTTTTTTTATGTATTTGTAAGAAACAAAATTAAAAATGTCATTTCATCATAAAAAAACTTTTATCATTTATTTTTTTAAATTCAACAAGTATATTATTTTAACTTACCTCAAAAGATCGTCTAAAGTGTTTCCTTATGTCTAAAAGTAGTATAGTGATGGTTTCAAAACGAGATTAATCAACTTTCAGGAATCGTTTTATTAAAACCACTCATGTTTTTGTAAGTGTAATTTTCTCAGATTTGATCTTTTATAATACTTTTCCCTTAAAAAAAAAACGAAAAATTTTCTAAAGTTCGGTAAGTTATAATTCTTGTCTAATTTTCGGAAGACAATTTTTTATTACATAGCATTTTTGGAAAGTCCTAGAATTTTATTCTTGGATTTTCTAAGATTATATATATGCCAATCGATTATTGATTTTATATCAACTGTAGATATACTTAATAAATGAAATTTAATCCATAATCAGCCCCCGTTTTAGAAAATAAATAAGTAAAATCAAACGTGAAGGTAGTACATGCGCCATAGATACCACAAGCGTCAAATATCAAGTACAAAGTCTCTTTTGATTTACGTAGTAGATTTACCTATAGAACGTTGCATTAAAAAAAAAAAAAAAAAAAAAAAAAAAAACAGATGATTTTTAATAGTTTTTTTTTTTAATAACTATTATAGTGCTATCATCTGCTCTGAATCTGTATTTCTAATTATGCAAAGTATTGAATTTTGATATTTCTTTTTAATACCTTTTGTTCTCTGCAGTTCCAAAAACATTTAATTGGTTCATTATCGCATTGAAATGTACTAGTATGCAAAGTTTCATTAAATTTTGTACGGTAATTCTATAAGCGAGCGTATTACCTTGACCAAAGTGGGCCATTAGGTTCCTTTACCCTTAGAGGAAAGAGCAATCGGCCCGAGCTTAGCCAAGGCTTGGCGCAATGCTCATTAACTCTGGGGCAAGCTTGAAATCCAAGCTTGGCCCAAGTCCGTCTAAGCATACAAATGATGCCAAACTTCCTGCCAAGACTGAATATCAGTACTGTGCCAAGACTGAAAATAAGTATTGCGCCAAGACTGAAAATAAGTATTGTGCCAAGACTGAAAATAAGTATTGTGCCAAGACTGAATTTTAGTATCGGGTCAATACCGATTTTCGAGTCTGACCCATGCCTGGTTACCAGGACTGGGCCACAGTTACTATTCAAGTCTGGCCCATGCCATTTGATAAAAAGTGATAAAAAGAAATTTTTTATTTGTAATTTTTTTTTATTTTAATTTTTATGCAAGGCTAATGAATGTTTAGTCCCTTTGACTCTTTATTTAGACCTAATTTTTATTAATTATGAAAATAAAGTGAAAATTGCATTTGCCCTAACCGAGATTCGAACCCGAGCCGCGCGCTTACTAGACCGATAACTAACCCCTACGCCGTACGACCGATAAGTTGATCTACATCTCATCATTCATATAAGCTAACTCTATATGCTGACAGAGTGTGACGGTTATTATTTTCACAATTTATGTTATTAAATATTGTGTTTTGATGAAAATAAAAAATTTTTCACAAATGTTTATTAATTTAAAAAAATACAAAAGTCAAGTCTTTATATCACTTTAGTAATTATACATCGTTCTGTATACTTTTAATATTTTGTTATAAATTTTAATGTTTAAAATTATCAATACTAAAAACTCCATTGTAAATTATTATATTTTAATTTTTTTAAGACCATATTAATCTTGACGATATGTAATTGTTTTTGTTAAATAATAAATTTTCAATTTAAGCATTTGCTAACAAATATTCATTAAACAATAAATATCTACATTAGATTTAGATTTAGATTTTGTTTATTTAATGCCAAGGCACAGGCCAAATGGTAATTTTAATTAAATAGTACATACAGTTTTTACAAGAGAGTAATTTCTGTGAGTACATAATATAATATAATATAATATTGCACAATAATTAATTTAATTTATTCATATGTAAACAAGGTAAAAAAGAAAATCATATTAAACTTGAAACTTAATATATAAAAATAATAATTTTAAAATATAGAATTTTAATGTCATCAGATTCGATGATAACTCAGCATAATAATTTTGCGAATTGCAATTACTTCATCCTTATTTTAATCTTTAATTTTCAATGAATTAATTTAAATTTGTTATTTATTAGAATTTGTTTTAATTATCAAGATTTAAAAAGTAATTAAGTACTTCTTTTTTGAAGACTTGTCAGCTACTCGACTTTACAATTTCGCGTGGGAGTTCTTCCCAAAGCTTTATTACAGTTACCAAAAAAGATTTCTCTAAGTAGCTTGTAGTAAAAAGAGGTAGTTTGAAGGAGGTGTGCTCATGAAGCCTTGTTAATTAAATATTGGTTAACTCTTGAATCAAGGCTGGCAAACCAAGACTCGTTACAGAGACATTGGCTGGGTCTTGGTCCAAGAGTAGTAAACCAAGACTTGTCACTTGAATATTGGCTGGGTCGTGGTTCAAGACTGGCAAACCAAGGCTCGTTACATAAACATTGGCTGGGTCTTGGTCCAAGAGTAGTTTAACAAGACTTGTCACTTGAATATTGGCTGGATCTTGGTCCAAGACTGGCAAACCAAGGCTTGTCAGTTGAATATTGGCTGGGTCTTGGTCCAAGACTGGCAAACCAAGGCTTGTCAGTTGAATATTGTCTGGGTCTTGGTCCAAGACTGGCAAACCAAGACTTGTCAGTTGAGTAGTGGTCCAGTCGTGGGCCAGTATTGTTCGGCCGAGTCTGGGCAACCCAGTATTGTGCCAAGACAGGCCCCGTTGTATATAATTTTTTTCCTACAAGGGTTCCCGGGTAAAAAAGATTATATATAATTATATACGAAAAATGGCCCTATATAATTATATAGAATTAGATGTAATTATATAGAATTATATATAATTATTTCTTGAAATGCTGATGCGCTACCTGTTGACCTACGAGACTTACTTGTAGAGCAGAGTTTGAAATAACTAGAAGTAATGCAAATCGTATACATAATCAATTTTTATAAGTTAACTTAATTAATACAGTTCCTATTATTTCATCCACAAAAAATACGATAGATTAATAAATTATTAATCATTAGAGTAGCAGACTCTTAGATAAAATTATATACAATTGTATATGATTCATATATAATTATATATGATTTCCATATAGTTGCACTGATAGAAGGATTTTTTTATATTTAATAAGCTTTATTAAATGTTAATAAATGATTTATGAGCTGTAATAGAATTCGGTATATTACAATAAACGTTATTATAATGCAATATAATCAATGCAAATAATTTATAAAGATGATTTTTGTTTATAAGCAATGTTCATATCATATGACATTGCAAGTGAAACAAATTCACTCAACAAAATATTTATTAACTTTTAATAAATATTTGTTAACTATTAATAAATATTTATTAACTATTAATAAATATTTTTTAACTATTAATAAATATACTTTCCTCCCAAATAAATATTTGTTAAATGTTAAAAAAAATTTATTAAAATTTAATAAACTAAATAATTGTCTTCAAACGAATTAAATTTCTAATAGTTAATAAATCTTTTCATCAGTTTATATACGAAATATATATAATTTTATATAATCATATGTAATTTCATGTAATTAAATATAATAATGTTTATAACTTTTGTTCAATTCTATAGAATTATATTAAAATCATATATAATTATATGAAATTAGAAATGATTATATATTATATATAATTATTGAAAAAATGTTACATCTAATTATATATTATTATATATAATTTTATATGATTAGATATAATCATATATAATTATATGTAACTAATATATAATTATATTTAAGTAATACATAATAACATGTAATTATATATAAATTTTTTTACCCGGGATAATGGGCAATTATTAAAGAGATTTGGTTTTATTTTTAGTTCACTTCTATGTTAGAAATTAATAAATTGAAAAATTTCCAATTTTGCTTTTTATTCTCCATCGCTACTTTGCAAAAACAAATACTGTTTTTGAATAAATACTATGTAGAACATTATTTTTCAATTAGGTATTTAGCGGTAATGAATACAAAGGAATACATAGGGTAGAAGTACCGTTTTTGGCCAGTTAACATTTGAATTAGTTTATAAAAAATTATAATTTTATAACCATATTTTTGCTGACTTATAAAAAATTTATATTAAAACAAATTGAGTTTGTAATGGTTTTTTAATACAAATTCATTTCTATCGTTTATTTGAAGAATAAATGGCCATAAACGGCACAGTGGCCACAAACGGTACTTCTACCCTATGTTAAGTAAATATATTCTAATTTTAATTTCAATCTTTAATTTCTCACTTAGAAAATTGCAAATTTTCTAAAATCGAAAAGTTATATTTTATATATTGTTTCACATATCTAATTATATTATTTAATTTTAAAAATGCTTATCGTAAGATGGACGGTGTGGCTTAATGTATATAGAATAAGCAAAAAGGAAATTTGGTATAGGCCGGGTAGTCCAGTCCGAGCATTATTTAGATTTACACCATTTTTTAAATATGGTTTTAATAGTAATTTTACCACCTTATTACAATAAGTATGCCGCATTTTCAGCGTAAATATTTCGCATTTTGTGCGTAAATTATTCGTATTTTTACGGTAAATGTTCCGTAATGTTTCGATGAAAAAATTGACCAAAACAACTGAAA